AATCCGCTTGAGACATCCCCACAAAACGGCCGCGAACTGGGTGTGCAATACCCCTCGGCGGCTCCCCTTAGGGACGTGAAAATGAGCGCCTCGCTCGAGACATCCTCCAAATCCGCTCCGGGCAAACCGCTTGAGACATCCCCACACAACGGCCGCGAACGGGACCGTGAGATAACCCCTGGCGGCTCCCCTTAAGGGGGTGAAGCTGAACGCCTCGCTCGAGACATCTTCACAATCTGCTCCGAAAGCGAAAGATGTTGGGACAGAAAACAGACAAACCGCTTGAGGCATCCCCCAATTACTCGACGCGGGGCTCCCCATATGTGCATCTCATTATCTTGGTACATCTTTCTCTTGATATCTGTCAATGAGCGCCTGTGTGCGAGGGCGAACCGCTCGCTCGAGACATTCCCAGTCTGCAAGCATGAGTGCGACCAATATCAAATCTGAGAGCGACTGATTCTGAGTGTGAGTTAATCTGGGTGCGATTGAGCCTGGGTTTGAGTGGGTTTGCGTGTGAGTAAATATGAGCGCGAGTGCGTCTGTGTGCGAGTGGGTCTGAGTATGGACGAATCTGAGTGTGAGCCAGTCTGTGATTGAGCGGATCGTAGCATGATGAGTCTGAGCATGAGTGAGTCTGGGCTTGAGTGGGTCTGAGTGTGAGAAAAAGTGTGTGTTAATGAATCTGAGTGCGAGTGAGCCGAGTGTGATTGGGTATGGATGTGAGGCAGTCTGAGTGTGAGTCGGTCTGCGTTTGAGCGGACCGAAGGATGATGAGTCTGAGCAGGAGCGAGTCTGAGTATGAGTGGTTCTGAGCGTGAGTCTGAGTGTGAGTAAGTTTAAGTATGGATATGAGCGAGTCTAAGTGCGAGTGAGCCTGCGTGTGACTGAGTCTGAGTATGAGTGAGTATGAATGCAGAAGAGTGAAGGAGAGCGGAGAGCGAAGGAGAGTGAGGCGGAAGCGTTTGAGTAAAACCTAAAGCTTTGGAACATCGAACCTCGATCGTCTGGCCCTGGCTACTCGAGTTGCCCACGTCCTCCTCCTCCTCCTCATCATCATCATCATCATCCTCCCCTTCCTGCTTCTGCTCCTACCGTGTTCATGCTGTCCTCCTTCTCCTCCTCCTCCTCCTCGTCCTCTTCCTCCTCCTCCTCGCCTCCTCCTCCTCTCTCTCCTCCTCCCTCCTCCTCCTCTCCTCCTCCTCCTCCTCCTCCTCCTGAAACCCGATCGCCTGAGACATCCTCCCTCCTCCTTGGGAGTGCTGAAACCAGGACAAATCGCCTGAGACATCCTCCCAGAAACTGCGTCCTGAAAAGCGAACAGATGCCCCAGCATCCATAACGGCCAAAGCCGCCTGAGACATCCCCGCAAACTGTGGCCGCGAACGAGTCCTCCAAACCGCCTGAGACATTCCGAAAGCGAAACATGTTGGAAGAGAAAATGCTGCCAAATCGCCTGAGACATCCCCACAAAATCCCGCGAAAGGGGCCGAGTGAAATACCCCCCCGCCGCTCCCCTTAGAGTGCTGAAACCAGCGAATCGCCTGAGACATCCTCCAAATCTGCTCCGAAAGCGAAACATGTTGGAAGAGAAAATGGCCAAACCGCCTGAGACATCCCCACAAAATCCCGCGAAAGGGGCCGAGTGAAATACCCCCCCGCCGCCCCCTTAGAGTGCTGAAACCAGCGAATCGCCTGAGACATCCTCCAAATCTGCTCCGAAAGCGAAACATGTTGGAAGAGAAAATGGCCAAACCGCCTGAGACATCCCCACAAAATCCCGCGAAAGGGGCCGAGTGCAACACCCCCCCGCCGCCCCCCTTAGAGTGCTGAAACCAGCGAATCGCCTGAGACATCCTCCAAATCTGCTCCGAAAGCGAAACATGTTGGAAGAGAACATGGCCAAACCGCCTGAGACATCCCCACAAAATCCCGCGAAAGGGGCCGAGTGCAACACCCCCCCGCCGCTCCCCTTAGGAGTGCTGAAGCCGCAGAATCGCCTGAGACATCCTCAACATCAGTGTGTGTGAGTCATCCGATGAGTGGACCTGAGTGAGTGTAGTGAATGTATGAGTACAAGTACGAGTGAGTCTGAGTGATGAGTGAGTCTGAGTGATGAGTGAGTCTGAGTGATGAGTGAGTCGGAGAGATGAGTCTGAGTCATGCCTGAGTCCGAGTGATGAGTGAGTCTGAGTGATGAGTGAGTCTGCGTGATGAGTGGGTCTGAGTGATGAGTGAGTCTGAGTAATGAATGAGTCTGAGTGATGAGTGAGTCTGCGTGATGAGTGAGTCTGAGTGGGTCTGAGTGAGAGGAGTGGTGTGTTCTCGTCTGTGTTCTCCTCCGGCGCGGTCCGCCAATAACAAGAACCCCATACTTAGGATATGGGGAAACATGGCCGCGAACGGGGCGTGTGTGAGTCTCACCATAAGTAAGTCTGAGTAGGAGAAGGTCTGAGTATGAGTAGGTCTGAGTATGAGTAATTGTTGTGTGAGTAAGTCTGTGTCTGAGTAAGTTTGAATGTGAGTCAGTCTGTGTATGAGTAAGTCTGGGTGTGAGGAGGAGAGGGGATGAGAAGAGGAAGAAGAAGGAGGAGTAGGAGGCGTCCAAGTAATAACAACAACCCCATCTTAGGATATGGGGAACAAGAACCCCATCTTAGGATATGGGGAATAAATATTCACTGCGGAGCTCCCCATATGTGCATCTATTCGCATGGACCTGTCCGCCGTGAATGGCTAGGCGCAAGAGCTTTCGAATATAAACGGGCTTCAGTTTTGACGGCCTGGACATGAATCTAAGTGCGAATGAATTGGAGTGTGAATGAGCCTCAGTAGTACGAGCGCGTCTCTGCGCATGAGCCTGGGGCCTCCTGGGGCCTCCTGAAACCTACTGGGGTTTCCTGGGGTCTCCAGGAGCCTCTTGGGGTCTCCTGGGACCTCCTGGGGAGGTTTCGTGCCCCAGGAGAGGCCCAAACTATGTTGTACATAAAACATTGCGGATTAGAGCCACAGGAGAAGGGCAATCTATAGGACACACGTAAAACACCAAGGACTCGTGCCCCAGGAGAGGCCCACAATATAAGCACATAAGTAAAACATGAAGGATTGTGTACACAGGAGAAGGACAATCTATAGGAACATACGTATAGCATCAAGTAATCGTGGTCCAGGTGATGCCCAATCGATCGGAGCATACGAAAAACACATGGGATTGGAGCCACTCCTGTTGCCTTCTGAGGCCTCCTGCTCCTGGGGCCTCTCGGGGCCTCCTGTTGCCTTCCGAGGCCTCCTGGCGCTTCCTGTGGCCTCCTGGGGCATCCTGTGGCTTCCTGAGGCCTTCTGGAGCCTCTTGGGGCCTCCTGGAGCCTTTTGGGACATCCTGAGGCCTCTTGAGTCTTTCTGTGGCCTACTGATGCCTCCTGGGAACTCATGTGGTCTCCTGGGGCCTCCTGCAGTCTGTTGGAGCCTCCTGCAGCATCCTGAGAAGAATCTGCGCCCACAAGCCTGGCCACCCAAACAGGCAACCCGATCGAGACATCCTCAAAATCTGGCCCACCTGGGAGGTGAAAATGAGCGCCTCGCTAGAGACATCCTCCAAATCTGCTCCGACAGCGAAGGATGTTTGGACAGAAAACAGGCAAACCGCTTGAGACATCCCCACAAAACGGCCGCGAACGGGACCGTGCAATACACCTCGGCGGTTCCCCTTAGGGGGGTGAAAATGAGCGCCTCGCTCGAGACATCCTCCAAGTCTGCTCCGAAAGCGAAGGATGTTGGGACAGAAACCAGGCAAATCATTTGAGACATCCCCACAAAACGGCCGCGAACGGGACCGTGCAATACCCCTCGGCGGCTCCCCTTAGGGACGTGAAAATGAGCGCCTCGCTCGAGATATCCTCCAAATCTGCTCCAAAAGCGAAGGACGTTGGGACAGAAAACAGGCAAACCGCTTGAGACATCCCCACAAAACGGTCGCGAACGGGACCGTGCAATACCCCTCGGCGGCTCCCCTTAGGAGTGTGACAATGAGCGCCTCTCTCGAGACATCCTCCAAATCTGCTCCGAAAGCGAAGGACGTTGGGACAGAAAACAGGCACACCGCTTCAGACATCCCCACAAAACGGCCGCGAACGGGACCGGGCAATACCCCTCGGCGGCTCCCCTTAGGGACGTGAACATGAGCGCCTCGCTCGAGACATCCTCCAAATCTGCTCCGAAAGCGAAGGATGTTGGGACAGAAAACAGGCACACCGCTTCAGACATCTCCACAAAACGGCCGCGAACGGGACCGGGCAATACCCCTCGGCGGCTCCCCTTAGGGACGTGAGAATGAGCGCCTCGCTCGAGACATCCTCCAGATCTGCTCCGAAAGCGAAGGATGTTAGGACAGAAAACAGGCAAACCGCTTGAGATATCCCCACAGAACGGCCGCGAACGGGACCGTGCAATACCCCTCGGCGGTTCCCCTTAGGAATGTGACAATGAGCGCCTCGCTCGAGACATCTTCCAAGTCTGCTCCGAAAGCGAAGGATGTTGGGACATAAAACAGGCAAGCCGCTTGAGGCATCCCCACAAAACGGCCGCGAACGGGGCGCGCGTGAGTCGCAGCATGAGTAAGTCTGAGTAGGAGTAGGTCTGAGTACGAGTAGGTCTGAGTATGAGTAAATTCGTGTGTGAGTAAGTCTGTGTCTGAGTAAGTCTGAGTGTGAGTGAGACTGTGTATGAGTAAGTCTGGGTATGAGGAGGAGCGGGGAGGAGAAGGAGAAGGAGGAGAAATCGGCAGCGTCCAAGAAATAACAAGAACCCCATCTTAGGATATGGGGAACAAGAACCCCATCGTAGGATATGGGGAATAAGAGCATTTCCTCATGGAAACAAAAACGTACATTTCTATGATATTTGCTTCTTATGTTCCATCGGCGGCCACGTCGACCCCAAAGGCTCTCCAAATCGGCGCCACACGGTCCACGAGGCTCCCAAGAGGGCTCCGAGACAGCCTCAAGAGAGCGTCGAGCAGCACAAGAGAGCTCCACAACAGTCCGAGAGAGTTCCGTAGCCATTTTGGCTCAAGCCATAATCACGCGGGGGATCCAAGTGTGACAACTGACAGCCCACTTTGAATCCAACACGGTGACATGGTTGCGATGTCGTCGGCGACTGTTCTCTCATCCGTCACCATCTTATGCGCTTTCGTGGCGCCTTCGGGGACTGTGTATAACGCGGAGATTTACCCGGATTCAGAATGCTCTGGCAGCCCTTCAAACATTCGTTATTTCAAGAAGGCCACAGACTCGCTGGACTGCTATGTCTTCACAGATGTCACTGGCGAGCACATGGGGGATAGTTTTGATGTGACCTGCCTCGGCGACCGAGCAACTTTCAATTCGTTTCGTAGTGAGAATTGCACAGGCTCTATCGTTGCATGGGGGACAACGCCATGGGCTGGGTACACATCAAAAATGTGCATCGGGTACGTCCATACTTAATCAAAGCCTCGTGGGACAAGTCTTAGCGTCCAGCGATTATCCTTCCACGTGCACTATGACCGAAGTCTCAGGTGTTTGGGCTTATTGTCCCGCCTTCATGACCTTGTTGTTGAGCGTTACTTGGGTGTTGCAGAAGAAAGTTGGTGCTGCGGCGCAGACCCCGTGTGCACCACAGGTATTATGCAAGAGCTTACATGTCTGTGCTTTTATATTTATTTTTCCTCCTGCAGGGCGCTGGCCACGCCAGCGGGGATAGGGATCGGTTAGCGTCAGGGCGATCGCCGCCACGGCCGCCCACGGCGCCGGCGCCCGCGTCACCGGCGGCATCAGCCGCCGTCAGCCTTGCAGCGCCCGCGCCACGCGTGGCAGCTTCAGCAAGCGCCCCGCATGGTGTAGCCGAGGATCCCGATGCCCTATGGCTGCCAGCAGCTTGGCCATGCTGTTCGACGGTTCCTCGCGCGCGAACAGCATGTCCATGTACTCGACCAGGGCCTTCTCCAAGTCTGCGTCGCTCTCCACATCGAGACCGTGAGTCATGCAGAAGGCGTCGAACCGCGCCAGCCGCCTCTCATAGTCCTGCTTCGTCTTCAGCGTGACGCTCTCCTCCTCGAGGGTGGTCAGTCCACCAGTGCCGACCCTCCGTACCTTGGCTCGATCCCTCGCCCCCGCCAATGGCGGCGGCTGCACACGGCCGATCTGGAGCACACGGGCCGTCGGCGAGACCTCGTCGATGAACGACGCCGTGGCGCGGTCGAGCACTTCTGGTCCTTTCCCGCTCTGCGCGTTGGGGGCAGCTGTCCCGCAGCGGCCGGCAGCCGCGGCGTCGGAGAGTGGCACGCGCCGCGCCAGCCTCTCGTCCTCGGCAGCACTCTCTTAAGCGGGCCTCCAGGCGCGGCTGCACCAGCCGTCGGCGGAGGGCGTTGAGGCCGCTGTCGTCCTCTGCGGATCGCCAGGCCCGCCTGCACCAGCCTTCGCGGCCGGCACTCGAGCCCGCCTCAGCACCCGGGTCACCCGCTTTCTGGAGGGCTCCCAGTGCAGCAGCAGCAGCAGCCTTCTCAGCAGGCGAGTCGAATCATCGGCTAAGTTCATCCGACGGGTTCAGCTCGCTGGCGACCCATCGCACATTGGTGCGGGAGAAAGTGGACAAGGACAGCGCGGTCCACTTCTGAGCAAGACGAGCACAGGCGGTGATACTGGACTACCCTTCTCCAAACTCAAGACCATACCCGTGTTGTCGCACTGAAACAGGTGATGACAGCGATGATGGATGCGTTGTCGACACCTCCTCCTCCACTCTAATAACACTGCACGTAATTCTTTGATGTGAATACCCTCCTTCCTGTGATACCTCCTTGCTTGTATTGTCCTCCATCTCGCCTCCTCGACAAACGACTTGGGGAGCTCGGGGAAGTGATGGTTGATGGTTATCTGCACGTCAACGTGTTCCGGGGGTTCTAAGAGCTCCACCAGCCTTCCGAGGTCCTCTGATCCAGGAAGCGCATGGTGAAGAACGTGTCCCAGATCAGGCAGCCTTCCAGGGTCTTCTGATTCAGAATGAGCATGATAATTATAGCACGAGTTCTGAGCTGGGCAGCCTCCGAAGGTCATCCGGATCACGCTGATCAAGATGACAGGCTAGCACTGGAGTGGGCTGACAACCATGACATGCCAACTCCTGAGGCGCAGGACGAGGGAGGTGAGCGGAGGTTTACTATCTCTCGGCCGTCGAAGTCACCCTCCAGCGCCAGCTCTCGCGGGCGCTGAGCCTGCTCTTGGCGAAACCGCCAGCGCTCACTCCAGCGGTCCACGTCTCTCACCGCTTGGGGGTCCATGCTGGCCTCCTGCATCTCATGGCCATATGAGCAGGTGTCGAGCCCCGACCACGGCAGATCAAACTGAACCATGACCGGCGGCAGCACACCGATGGCGTTGACGAGCTGCCTCACCGACGGCCACAGCGGCACCCGGTGGCGGTAGAACATCCTGGCGAAGTCGTAAACGGAGTTGAAGACGCTCAGCGACGGCCGATTGAGCAGCATAGCGTGGGTGAAGTGGCCTACTAGCTTTTCCGCCTCTCTGCCCGCCACCTTGCGCCGCTGGAGCAGCGCCCTCGTGCCCAGCAGCAGGCGCAAGCGCTTCGTCTTCGCCAGCCTCGCCGTGAGCTTGATGCCGTCAAGGCTCCAGGCCCAACGCCTCCACCACGTTCTTGCCCCCCACCTCCTGCAGCGGCAGCCCGACGTCCGCCAGCACATTGGCGGCCTGTGGCGTGCCACCTTCGTGGCGCCCGCCCGCGACGAGACGAAGATCTCGCTGTCCACGTACACGACTCTCGGCACCGGGGCCGCCGCCACGTCTGGCGCCAGCTGGCGGTCCACCAGCTCGCCCTCGAAACCTCCAAGCCCACCTCGTCGCAGAAGCTCTCGAGGTGCCTGCTGCGTCCAGCGCATAGCCCACGAGAACCCCGTCGGCAACACCTTCAGGCAGGGGTAGACCCAGGCACCGGCCGCCATGTAGTCGGGCACCCTGACTTGGTAGAAGTAGTCGGCGATGTCTTGAATCGAAAACTTCAGCGTGTCGCCCTGCTCGACCTTCAAGCCCACCACGGCTGCGGTAGATGCCACATGGATGGAGGTAGTCCCCTTGAGGGACTGATTCACCGCCCTCGCGTCCACGATGAGTCGTAATCGCCCTGACTTCTTCTTCACGAAAAAACTCCCACTTCAAAATCGCGACGAAGACGCAGCAAGACCATGTCCCGCCTAAGCAAGTCCTGGCCACAGTTCAGTACTCGTCTCTGTTGGTGCGCAAAGTCTTATAGGCTCTGTGCGGACCTCATCAGCACGAAGCTATAGCGAATGTTTACCGTTGACCACCTCCTGGTAATCTGGCTCCGGCAGCACCTCCAGCAAGCCCACGCAGCCCGCCGACTCGGGCCATGCAACCAGACTGCGATCACACGGTGCAACCACAGCGGGGCCATTTGGGCCGTTGCCCAGCGCCTCGGTACCGAGCAATTCCGTCAGGGCTGCCTCGGGGCTGGGATAAGGCTGGGGACGTCGTTCGGCGGGAGGTCGTCAGAGATCGCCTGCCAAACCATGTCCACAGCGGACAACTGCGCCTCCGAAGGTCTGGCCTTCGAGCAAAATTCGCCCCCCCGTACAAGCTGTTCAGGGTGGCGACGCAGTCGCTCACAGCGGGACCAACAGCAGACCTGCAGCCAATCCTCTGGGCAGCTCGACGAGGCAAAGACCTCGTGCCGCGGGCTGGAGGCACCGGCACCATGGGCAGGGGAAGCAGATCCCTGGGCACCATGCGCTCCAGCGGCCCGATGGTACCAGCTGGGGTCGGTCACACCCCAGCCTCGTCCGGCGCTTCATGACTTCTTCGGAGGAGCGCGCGCCAGCGCCCGCTCCTCCGCTGCCTTCCGCTCCTCCCTCGAGATGGCCGGATCCCTGGCCGCGGACTCGGCCACCCACTTCAGCAGCTCGGGGCTCACTCGCACCTCCAGTCCGCCGCGTGCGCCCCAAGCAGTAGTCCTGCGAGTCGAAAACCTTCTGAGTCTCCTTCTTCTTCTTCTTCTACTTCTTCTTCTTCTTCTTCTTCTTCTTCTTTCTTCTTCTGGATCTTGTGCTCGATGAACTGCATGTGCCTCGCCAGCGCCTCTAAGCACGCCAGATTGGAGACGTCCACCTCGTCGTAGGTGCAGGCCAGCTTCAGGATCTCCGACAGCATCTCATGGGCCACCACGCTGTGCTCGTCATCGATCAGCTTGTTCTCGTGCTTCCAGGTGGTGTGCCTCTACACTGGGTCCCCGCTCATCTTGGCGATCTCCTTCACCAAGTAGAGCGTTGTGCGCGGCCCGGAAAGCACCCAGTCGTCGAAGTCGCTGAGGTCTGCGTTCTCGGCCACGCTCCTCACCGACCTGAAACGCCTGCCCGCAGAGATTGACAGCGCGCGGTCGTCCTCCGCCGGCGCCGGCGGCGTCTAGGAGCCCTCCATCGGTTCACCGCCACCCGTCAGACCACTGAACGCGCGCAGGGCCTCGCGTGCCTCCTGGTCTGGCTCGAGGCGCGCCACTGACTGCCGCCTGGCCGCGGCGCCCCACGTCGTAGACGCTGGAGCCCCCGATGGCGCAGAAGGTCTCCGAGGGCGTGTCCAGCACGTCAGGCAGGGAGTACACCGCGCCGCGCTTCACCGCCGCCCACTCCACCACGCAGCACCAGTCGGCCCGCCGCGCCCTCGCAGCCTCCTCCTCGGGCGCCTCCGAGGGCAGCGGCAAGGGCGGCGGCGCTCCCAGCTGCACCTCGGGCCCAAGGGGCCCAGGCTCGATGGCCGCCAGCCCCTGCTCCTCGCGCAACTGCGACGCGAGGTCCTCCGCCTCCTTCATCAGCGCCTCCAGCTCGCCGGCCACGACGCGGTTGGCCAAGCGGTACACCGGCTGCCCGCGCGCCGCGCCCAAGCCCGGCGGCAGCCCGCCGCGGGGGCCCGCCTGCTTCAAGTCCGCCACGTTGCGCGTGTCGAACGTCTCCTCATAGACTTCCCGATCGGGCGTCACGATGACGTAGGTCGCGCCCGCCACTGGCGGTCGCGCCCGCCACTGGCGCAAGCACCAGCCTCTCCTGCCAGGGTCCCCCCTCCACGCCGTAGTCGGCGAAGATCGTGTCGCCGACCTGGAGGTTGAGCGCCCTGCGAACGAACCTGCGCTTCGGCGCCATGGTCCTGCACCTGCAGCGCAGGATCCTTGCCTCCTCTCTCGGCGCGGAAGCCCCACACGAGCACGCGGACCGAGACCAGACAGCCACACACCACACCGTCGCCTGGATCGCCAGCACCGTGGCGGCCCCGAGCAAGAAGCTGCTTCCTGCCACGATCACCAACGAGCCCAGCGGCGCCGGCGCGCCCCAGACGTGGGTCTGCGAGAGGCACGCGTTAGCTGTGGTCGAGATGGCCAGCGCACACGGAGAGACATTATAATCGAGCAAATTTGTTGGCGAGGGAGCGGGAGCGAACTTCGGGAAGTATGAGCCCCAGCCGAAATCTCCCGTTCGCCGCCAAAAGAACAACCGCTTGAGCCGTGATGCCAAGGCCAGGCGACGACACATCAGCACTGCACGTTTCGTTTCACTGCTGCAACGCTCTGCTACGCCCGTTTCACGACGCTGCCACAGGAGGTAGAGTGGATCGAGGGCGCCTCAGGATCGCCCCGCTCCGCCCGACGGACGGGGCCACTCGGGGGGGAAGCGCTCCTCGAGGTTCAGAAAGGAAGCCCGCTTAGCGCAGGCTGCGTCACTACGGGCGGGCCCCCGCTCCGCGGGGCCATCAGAGAAAACGCCAGACGACGAGGCTGGAAAGGAGGAGGAGGAGGAGGAGGAGGAGGAGGAGGAAGTGTGGGGGGGGGTGACGGTGAGGACGAGGATGGGGAGGAGGGGAAGAAGGATGAGGAGCAGGAGGGGAAGGAGCAGGACTGGAGTAAGCCCAAGATGTACCAACGATGCTGCAATACACCCTCCCGTCTCAAATCCCCTCCTCATCAGTCTCCACAGGCATCCTTCTTCACTGCGCGAGGCATCCCTCTGACAAGACGCGCGGCCCACGGGCCCTGCAAGCCAGTTGGGAGCTCCGTCATGAAGAAACCCGCACTCCATCGTGACACTTGTTCACAAACCGGAAGCTCGGCCTCTGGGCCCCCCGGGCCGCAACCAGTCCCCCCTTCCAGTCCCTGGGGCCTCCCCGGGGCCTCCCTGGAGCCTTCCCGGGGTCTCCTGGGCACCAAATGAGTTCCAGGCGAGCCACCCTGGCTTCAGACGGCCCAAGAGGCCCAAAAAATGTCCCAAGACGGCTCTAAGAGGACCCTCAAGAGTGCCCGAAGAGGCAAACGTCGCCCCATTCATGTTTCCGAGACGCACACTTCTAGCACGCTCCCTGTGTTCATGTGCGCAGCGTCCAAGACGGCCCCAGAGGCCCCCAGGAACGCTCCGACACGGCCCAAGAGGTCCCCCCAGAGGGCCCCAAGATGGCCCAAGAGGCACCCATGTCCGCACCGTAGCCAGTTTGGCTCAAGCCATTTTGGCTCAAGCCTCCTGAGGTGTTCTACAGCTGCTCTCGCCCTTACAAACATTCCGATTTGATGCAGAGCTTCCTCGTGCTCTTCTGCTACGCCGCCAGGCTGGTCAGCTCCCTCCGCCATCCCCAGGCGTCCGCGGCGCCCGCGCCGTCTCCGCGCCTGGCGGCTGCCGCAGACGCCCCCTCGCGGCGGGACCGGATCGCTGTGTTCTCCGCCCAATTTGGCGGTCGAGACCGTATTGCGTATAGAACGACAATTCATGGGGACATGGGTGAGGACACGGGTGATGAGGACGTCGGTTTCACTCGATGGGCTGAGGCATCTGGTCCGGCGGGGGAAAAGCTTCCAGATAGTGTCGATATGTTTCTTTATACCGATATGATCAACGTTTCGCAAACAAACACTTCGGCATGGAAGTTCGTATACCCGGCGATGCAGTCAGAACAGCTTTGCGATGACAACGTATTATGTCAGTGGAAAGGGAACCATCATCTCACGCCGTCCCAGAAAAAGATGAAGTCCATTTTGGCATCAAAGTTTTTCAAGATACGCTGGATTGCCGAAAGCAAACAATATGATTACATACTCTGGATGGATGGTAAATATTTGATAAGAAACCAGAATCTGATTGAGACAATCAAGGCATATATGGGGAAGACTGTTGACATGCTTGTCATGAGACACCCTGGGAGAAAGCTTGTTGCGCAGGAGGTGGGCCCAGCAAGCGAGCGTGCAGCGAATCTCTTGGGTGATCCTTCTGTCATCCAGAGAGCAAGAGAAATATTTGAAGGGTACTTGCATGAGGGTTTTTCTGATAAGATTGGACTCTTTGATTCAGCCATGTTCATCGTGAGACCAGCGCGCGTGCGTGATATGTTCATCGATTGGTGGCACGAAGTACAGCGAGGAGTTCCTCGTGATCAGATATCGTTGCCTTGGATGATCCAGAAGCATGGCATCAACTTCGTCTCCATAGTGCCTAAACCCTGTGCCGTCTTAGGCCGAGGCTGCAAGAACCCACATGCGCATCTTTGAGAGCGCCGCCACACTGAACACGCACAACACACCACGCACACAGCACACATCGCACACGTTTTCATTCTCAGCGCGCGTTTGGCGCAGCTCGCGGTTGGCGCGCATTTGGCGCGTCGACTGCTTCGCCTTCCGGCACCTTCTGGTAACCGACGTGTTTGTTGGTTGCCAGAACGAGCGGCAAAAAAAAAAGGCACCCCAGTCCGCCCACTACGGTCCCAAGAGGGGCCCCTGGGGGGAATTCGAACCCACATTTTGAGGCCTCCGTTCCAAGAGGACCCCGGAGATCGCCAGCAGGCCCCCAAGAACCTCCCCAAGAGGACCCGAAAAGGCTCCCAAGAGCCCCGAGAGTGGCCCTAAGAGGTGTCAAAACTGCCTCCACGAGGCTGCCCAGAGACTTCCCCAGAGATCCGAACAGGCCTTCAAGAGGTCTCACACCAACAACCCAGGCCCGGTGGCCCATCCCTTCTGTCCTCACATTTCGAGGTCTCGAGCCCGAGAGGCCCCCAAGAATCGGGTATAGCCAGTCCGTAGCCATTTTGGCTCAAGCACTTCTGGCTCAAGAGCCCTCGGTGCAAACCGCGCAGGCGGCGCCTGTCGGCAGGCGCGCCCGTGGATCCGCAGCGGTGGCCGCACCGCCCACCGCGGGTGGCCAGGCTGCGCCACGGGCCGATCTCCGCGAGGCGTCGCGGGAGGAACATGGACGACAGCGCAACCCCGCATGCGGCAGTGCGTGCGTGGTCGAGCACCGCAGGTTCGCAAATTCAGGACGTGCTGTTCGAGCTGAACAACAACGTGGCTCAAGAGGCAGCGGACCAGCAGGCGATTACCGAGAGGATGATCGACGACAAGTTCGCCGCGATGAGACAAGAGATGTGGGAGAGGCTGGACGAGGTACGGATGTCCAGCGCAGGGACTTCGTGGAGCAGCTAGCGGCGCTGACCCAGGCCACCAAGGACATGGTTGCGGACGCCATGCGGGCGGGGATGGACGCGCTGCGCCAGGACGTCGCCGGCCAGACTCCGCCTGCGGAGCCAGCGCCCCAGCCGGCCCCAGTGCTCGACGAGGCATTGGCGGAGCTGCGGGCGCGGTTGGAGGAGGCGGAGAGGAGCCACCACGGCGGCCACCACCACCATCACCGTCACCACAGATCAACAAGCAGCGTCTCCAACGACATCGGCGTGACGACAGCGCACGAGAAGGAGACTGTAGACATGTCGGTCGAGCAGGTCAAGCAGTCGTTGCGGCTCTCCGGCGCAGAGATGGACACGGATGACAACGAGGCGACCTTCGAGGCCGAGGGCGGCGATTGGGACGAGAATCGCGAGCAGTCGCAATGGACTGGAACGGCGATATTCAGGTTGCCTCCTCCTGCTCCTCCTCGAGCCGACGGTCGGGGAGCGCGTTTTCGGCGCGCGCCCCGCGGGCTTGGAGGAGCAATGCTTTGTGGTGTAGAGTACCGCGAAAGTCGATCTTAACCGCAGGGGGAACCTGCATTTTTTTTTTCCTTCGGATTTGCACATGCGGGCTCCTTGACACGAGTTTCACGGATTGCCCCGAGTGCTCCGCAACCACGCTCCTCCATGCGCTAGTCGATCCTAGCCGCAGGGGGAACAAAAAATTGCAGATTTGCACGTGTGGGCTCCTTGACACGAATTTCATGGATTGCCCCAAGTGCTCCGCAGCCACGCTCCTCCATGTGCTAGTCGATACTAGCCGCAGGGGAAATACTGCTGGTTTGCTGCAGATTTGCACGTGCGGGCTCCTTGACACGAGTTTCATTGATTGCCCCGAGTGCTCCGCAGCCACGCTCCTCCATGTGCTAGTCGATCCGAGCCGCAGGGAGACATGCTGTTATTTTGCTGCAGATTTGCACCTGCGGGCTCCTTGACACGAATTTCATTGATTGCCCCCATTGCTCCGCAACCAAGGTCCTCCATGTGCCCTCTTTTTTTGTTTGAGAGTCCCCATGGGGGCCCGAGGGAGCCACCAGAGGATCCCTACATGGTCGGAGAGGGCTCCATGAGGGCCCCAAGACGGCTCAGCTACCCATGACATGCCAAGAGGGGCTTGGCCGAGATGGGGCTCCCAGACGGGCCACAAAAGGCCCCAAAGGATTCCCCCACGACTGTCCAGGAGGCCGCTGAGAAGGCCCTCCAAAGGCAAAATCAAACATTTCCGATGGAAAAACGTATATCTTTGGGAGCTTCGCTTTTCAGTTCTACCAGCGGTCGCGACGGCCCAAAAGGTTACCAAAAAATGGGCCCCAGACGGCCCCAGAGGCCCGAAAGAGGGTTCCAAGATGGGCTGAAGAGAGCTTCAAGCGGCACAGAAGAGCTGCACGACGGCCCAAGAGAGCCCGAGGGGGCCACCAGAGGATTCCTATATGGTCGGAGAGGGCCCTAGGAGGGCCTCAAGACGGGCTGAGCTCCCCACGACGAGCCAAGAGGGCCCCGGAACGGCCGAAACGGGTCTTCAGACGGGCCAACAAAGGCCCCAAAGGACTCCAAAGGAAAGCCCGGAGAAGCTCCAGAGACTGCCACAATGCTTCCAAAGAGGCTTCCGGCACGCGTTCCAGTAGGCACCCGTGTACTGGGTGAGTTGAGAGAAGAGAGGAGGAGGATGACAAGGAGGAGGAGGAGGATGAGGATGAGGATGAGGAGGAAGAGGGGAAGAGGAGGAGGAGGAGGAGGAGGAGGAGAGGAGGAGAGGAGGAGGAGGAGGAGGAGGAGGAGGAGGAGGGAGGAGGAGGAGGAGAGGAGCAAGAGGAGGAGGATGAGGAGGGAGGGAGGAGGAGCAGGGGGAGGAGTAGGAGGAGGAGGAGGAGGAGGAGGAGGAGGATGAGGAGGAGGATGAGGAGGATTGTTGTGGTGGTGATGGTGAAGGGGACCATGACCATGACGATGAAGATGAAGATGACGGGGATGAGGATGACAATGATGACGATGATCATGACCCTAGCTAGAACTTGAGTGCGCGCGAAGCGCGCGCGATGGCTCTAGTATATATATATATATATGTATATCGTTCCAGGGCGCTCTGGAACGGCCGCGGCGCCCGATGCATCTTCCAGAACCGCTAGAACTCAGAAATCCCCGACATGTCCAGGACCGATTCTGTCCCGGTCCTGGGTTCGTCTCACCTGGTGAACATCGGGCGGGTGATATGGGGGGGTGACTTCAATGAGGGGGTCCTGGGCCCTCTTCCCAGACGTGCGACGTCTTGATTTTTTCAGGACGGCGACCCTAGAAATCCCGACCTTTTCCCGGGACCGGTTTTTCGTCCTGGGTCGTTTTTTGCCGGTCCCGAGGCCCGGCGAGGGCCCCCCGGGGCCGAACACAGCCCAATACCTCCCGCCCTGAATTTTAGACGACGCGATCATGTGTGGGTTCCTCGCCCCTCTGTTGGTCCCCCCCCCCCTTCCCAACCGCCCGAGAAGAGGTCGAGGCTTCGGGGGGCCCCGTTCTGAGCACGTCCGCGCGCCGCCAGGGGCGTGGGGAGGCCGCCCCCTCTGCCCTCGCCCCTCTCGTTCCCCCGTGCGCGCGCCGCCTCTCGCAGGCCTCTCGACAGGGAGAGGGTCTCCCAAAGCGTGTGGTGACGGACCGCGTGGTGACTTCGGAATCCCCAGCGCCCTCACCGCGCGGTCCGTCACCGCACGGTCTTGGGACCTCGGAGGCCCCATTCGCCCGGGACGTCCGCGGAAAACGGCCCGAGTCCAAAGAAAACGCGGTGATCCCGAATCTCCACAGACACACCACACCAGCCCTTCTCCGATTGTCTGGTCTCGAGGGCATACCTCGGGCCTCCGGCGGCCGTTCTGGACGATCCGGGTGCCCCCCGAACGCCCGCGGCGAGGCGTCGAGGGTAACCCTGAGGCGACAAAACCTGCAGGAACCAGCTACAACCTCCAGAAAACAACGCTCGTCGTCGTCGTCGTCGTCGTCGTCGTCGTCGTCGTCGTCGTCGTCGTCGTCGTCGTCGTCGTCGCACCGCTTGGGGCTCCCCGAGAGGAAGGAGTCGGCGGCGCGCCGAGGGAGGAAGTGAGAGGAGGCAGGCATTCTCAGAAGGCGGCGGGGCTTCTCAGAGCCCGCCTGGCCCCCTGAGAAGATTTGTCTGTGCCTTCGGGCAAGGCTCAGGATACTTCTCCGAGGCCCTCCGAGTCTTCTGAGAAGGTGCGCTCCTTCTCGGACGCCTGCTGGTTTTTGGGCCACAATTCGGCTGTCCGGCGGCCGCTCGGGACGATCCAGGCACCCCCAGAAGGCTCTCGGCGAGGCGCAGCTGTTGGGAAGCACCCCGAGCCTTGAAAACCGCAGAGGACGGACGAAAGCGCCCGAACACCTCTGACCTCGAACCCGACACTCCCTGGTCGCGCCTTCCGAGTTTCCCCCCAAGGCTCGCCGCCGAAGAATCGGCGGCGAGCGAGGGTGAGAAGTGAGAAGGGGCGGGTCTTCTCAGAAGGCTCGGAAGTCTCGGAAGTCCTCTGACCTTCTGAGAAGTCTTCCAAACTTTCCCCGAAGACGCAGAACACTTCTCAGAAGGCGCGAGCGCTTCTGAGAAGTCCCGCCGCCTTTGGAGAAGGCTTTCGCCTTCTCACTTTACCCCCCCGCTCGCCGCCGACACATGCTCCTCCTCGTCTGGCTTTCGAATGATAACTAGGGTCTCCAGCGACAATTCGGGACGATCCAGGCACCCCCTCCTCCTCCTCCTCCTCTTCCTCCTCCTCCTCCTCCTCCTCGTCTGGCTTTCGGAACAGAAACCGGGTCTCCAGCGGCAGTTCCGGGACGATTTGGGCACCCCCGGATTTCCCTCGGCGAGGCGCGGCTGCCCGCAAGCATCCTGGGGCCAGAAGCCCGCCGAGAACCGACGAAACTGCCAGAACACCTCGAACCTCGAACCTCGACCTCGAAACTCGCCGCCAATTAACCTCGAACCTCGAACTCGAACCGAGAACCGATGAAATTGCCAGAACCTTGGACCTCGAACCTCGCCGCCAAATGATAGTTAAAGATGGGCCTGTTTCCCACCCACGCCACCATGAGCTGGAGGGGGGGAAGGAGGAGGAGGACGAAGAGGAGAGGGAGGAGGAGAAGGAGGTGGAGGAGGCGGAGGATCCCGAAGAGGAGCAGCTGTCGCAGGCAGGCGGTCGGGAGCTGTGGCTCCGCCTGCCGTGCGGCCAGCCCCCACCGTAGGGGCAGGAGGAGGAGGGGCAGGAGGAGGAGGAGGAGGAGGAGGAGGAGGAGGAGGAGGAGGAGGAGGAGGAGGAGGAGGAGGAGGAGGAGGAGGAGGGGGAAGAGGAGGACCCCCTCCCCCTCCAACTCATGGCGGCAGTGGCGAAAAGCAGGCCCATCGAATAGATGCCCCCCTCGCTCGCCGCCGAAAGAAGGCGCTGCTCCCCCGCTGGCCACCGCCGTCGCCGTCGCCGCCGTCGCCGCCGCCGTCGTCGTCGTCGTCGTCGTCGTCGCCGCCGTCGTCGTCGTCGCCGCCGTCGTCGTCGTCGTCGTCGTCGTCGTCGTCGTCGTCGTCGTGGTCGTTCGTCGTCGTTGTCGCCGCCGCCGTCGTTGTCGTCGTCGTCTTCGTCGTCGTCGTCGAGGAGGAAGAACGATGCGTCCTCCTCCTCCTACTCCTCCTCCTCCTCCTCCTCCTCCTCCTCCTCTCCTCTCCTCCTCCTCCTCCCCCTCCCCCTCCTCCTCCTCCTCCTCCTCCTCCTCCTCCTGCCCCTCCTCCCCCTCCTCCTTCCCCTCCTCCTCCTCCCCCCCCTCCCCTCGTGGCCCTGCCGGCCCCGCCGGCCAGGGGGGCCCGCCGGCCGAGGTCTTCGGACGCACCCAGCCAGATCAGCCAGACCAGCCAGGCCAGCCAGGTCAGTAAGGCCAGCCAACAGGCCAGCCAACAGGTCAGCCAGCAGGCCGCGGCGGCGGGCTGCGTCGGCGCCGCCGCCCTCGTCGTCCTCCTTCCTCCTCCTCCTCCTCCTGCTTTTCCTCCTCCCTTTCCTCATCCCTTTCCTCCTCCCTTTGCTCCTCCCTTTCCTCCTCCCTTTCCTCCTCCCTTTCCTCCTCCTCGTTCTCCTCCCTTTCCTCCTCCTCGTCCTCCTCCCTTTCCTCCTCCCTTTCCTCCTGCTCCTCCTCCCTCTCTTCCTCGCCCTCCTCCTCGCCCCTCCTCGTCCCTTCCTCCAGGGCGATGCCACCTGTCGGCTTGTCCCGGGAGAAGGCTCTGTTCGTGGGGTCGAGCGGCGTAGAGATCCAGCACTCCAGCAGAACAGCCTCGCGGTCAGTCGTGGTGATCGAATGTTAAGTCGGGCATGCCCCCCCCCCCTACAGGAGGAACATGCATAAATCATGCAAAGATAGTCGGGTGACGATGTTTTTTTGACTATTTCTAAAGATGATCGGAGTTTTTTTGTTTTTGTTTATTTATTTTGTTTTTTTTTGTGTGTGAGAGAGAAAGTATTTTGAATGATTTTTCGTCCAAAATCCGCCTGTAGGGGGACATGCCCGACCTAATCGTAGTTATCGAAGACGCCTACGGCGAATCACCGCCGCCCCCTGCCTTTCTGGAAGCGCCTGCGTGGCCGAAAGTTGGGTTTGAGCTTGGCCAAGCTACCGGGCCACGCGTTCGCCGAGTGGGTTTCGAAAGCCTACGGAGTCGGGCGAGCTATCGGACCAGGTGGTTTCCGAGCTTGCGGGCCTCCTGGAGGACGTCCTGGAGGGGTCTTGGGCCGTCTTGGAGGCCTCTCTTCAGGCCATCTGGGGCCGTCTTGGGTGCATCTTGGGGCCATCTTCGCCGTCTTGGAAGCCTTCTTGTGCGGACTTGGAGGCATCTTGGAGGCCATCTTGGCCGTCTTGGAGGCCATTTTGGGCGTCTTGGGGGCCTCTTGGGCCGTCGTGGGGCCTTGTTGCGGCCCTCTTGGGGGCCTTTTGGGCTGTCGTGGGGCCATCTTGGAGGCTCTTGGGCGCTCTTGGGGCGATGTTGGGGGCCTCTTGGGCCGTCTTGGGCCGTCGGAGAGCTGATAAGAAGAACATGCCACAATGCTGCAAAAACCTAAAGCAAATCAATGATTTTGGCCCTTTCGGGCCTTCCTGGAGTTTGTCTTGGAGGCCTCTTGGGGGCCTCTTGGGCAGTCTTGGCAATCTTGGAGCCGTCTTGGGCCGTCTTGGAGGCTTCTTGGACGAACTTGAAGGCATCGTGAGCTCTCTCGGGCCGTCTTGGAGGCCATCTTGGACCATCTTGGGCGGACTTGGAGGCCATCTTGGCCGTCTTGGAGGCTATCTTGGGCATCTTGGGGGCCTCTTGGGCCGTCTTGGGGCCTTCTTGAAGCCCTCTTGGGGGCCTCTTGGGGTGTCATGGGGCATCTTGGAGGCCTCATGTGCGTCGATGTTGGGGGCCGCTTGGGCCGTCTTTGGCCGTCGGAGAGCTGAAAAGGAGCAAAAGCCAAAATACTTCAAAACCCTTAGGACAATCAATGATTTTGGCCCTGTCGGGCATTCCTGGAGGACGTCTTGGAGGGCTCTTGGGCCGTCTCGGAGGCCACTTGCGGGCCTTTTGGGCAGTCTTAGGCCATCTTGAGGCCATCTTGGGCCGTCTTGGGTGCATCTTGGGGTCATCTTGGCTGTCTTGGAGGCCATCTTGGCCGTCTTGGAGGCATCTTGGAGGCCATCTTGGCAGTCTTGGAGGCCATCTTGGGCGTCTTGGGGGCCTCTTGGGCCGTCGTGGGGCCTTGTTGGGGCCCTCTTGGGCTGTCCTGGGGCCGTCTTGGAGGCTTCTTGTGCACTTTTGGGGCGATGTTGGGGACTTCTTGGGCCGTCTTGGGCCGTCGGAATCCGAAAAGGAGCGAAACCAAAATCCCAGAGAAACCCAAGGGCAAATCATAGGAGTGCTTGCACGTGATTGTCTGTGACCCTCCGTCTCCGCTCAAGTGCATGAGCGTGGGCCGGTCCATGGCCCCTGGCGCCTCCACGAGCCTGGCGGTGGGCGCCGCGGTCGGCGCTCCGGCGGCGTGGGCTGGGCTGCGCCTTCTGGGAGCCTGGCTGGGGACGCTGATCGCGGCCTCGACCACCTGCCCAGCCTGCGTCTGCCAGGCGCCCTCGGCGCCGCCGCCGCCGCCGCCGCCGCCGCCGCCGCCGCCGCCCGTGGCGGCAGGCATCGCGGCCGCGGTGGTGGAGGAGCTTGGGCCCTGGCTCGCGAACGTCTCGCCCGCTCCGGCGATCTGCCCGAGCGCGGAGGCGGCGGCGGCGGCGGTGCTGGAGCGCCTGCCGCCGTCGCCCGGGCCCGCGGGGCCCCCGCGGGCGGCTTCGCCGCCCGAGGCCGGCCCGGCCGTGGAGGAGCAGCAGAGCGCTGTGACGCTGGTGGGTGCGGGCTGCGCTGTGGGAGAGCTAGTGCTTCTAGTCGTGTGCTGCCTGACAGCTCGTGCACGGAGGAATGCTGAGTCTCCGGCGTCGGCCCGTACCCTGTGGCCGACCGGAGCCAGCGCCGAGGTGGCGGAGTGGTGCGCTGAGCTGCGCCCAGGGCTCCGCGGGGCTGTGGTACCGACGGGACACGGTGTGGCATGAGCGCCTGCTGCTGTACCCAGCGGGCGGCACCTACTTGTGGGTGCTGACGCCGGATGATGACGTCTACGTCGAGAACATCGCGGGGGTGACTGGGGACGGATGTTCACGAGCCTTTGCGTGCACGCCAGACGAGACGCCACCGGCGGTGGCCCATGGGAGCTTCTACCGCTTCCGAGCCCCCGTGTCGCCCGCCCGGCTCAGAGCCCTCATCCTCGAAGCCAGGACTGAGCAGGGGGCGCGCGCGAGTGCGCCGCTGGAGGGCCCCGCCGTGTTCTACAGCTGGGGCGGCGCTCGCACGGCCTTTTCGGGGCTACGCCGCCGCCTCCCGCTGCGCGGCGCCGCGGGGGAACCCGACGGGGCGGCGACCCCGCCGCTGGCGCCCGACGGCGAGGCAGCCCCCTTGGCCGACGCCGCGTCTGACTTTCCTCCAGCGACAGCCGCCGACTACGAGGCCCCGGAGGGCTGCGTCTGGATGGTGGCCACCTTGGGCCCAAAGCCGATCGGCCTGGAGATCGAGTTGGCAGCGGGCGACGTGCGGCTGGACCGTGGCCACGCGATGATGCAGTTGGCGAGCGGCTGGCAGCTCTTGGAGGCGGTCAGACGGGACGACCGTGACGACTTCCGCCGCCGCAAGGCCAAGGAGGTGACCGAGCAGATGAAGGCGGACCTCGGGCTACCTGGGGCGCCATTGCCTGGAGGTGCCGTGGCAGCGGCGGCAGAGGCCCCAGAGGCCACCGAGGAGCGCGACCTGCGCGACCGTCTGGGCGTGCCGCCCGCCATCGAGAACGGGCCGCTCGCCGAGGCGGAGGGCATCAGGACGTTGTGCGTGCAGCACGACGATCATGGAGAGCGACGCAAGCCATGGCGCGAGGTCGTCGAGGAGGTGAAACGATACACGTTCAAGGACTGGCCGCTGGACGACGGGCTCTCCACGGCCGAACGCATGATCAAGACGTGGGACAAGAGCGACGGCAACCCACTGCTGTGGCTAAGAAAAGAAGTGTAGGCGCGGGACAGGCTTCTCTGACACTCGGACAGGAGCTACCTAGAGATGAAGTGCCTGCTGAGCGCCATCTACTACGCGGGCACCTACGTCCAGGTGAATCTGGCGAGCATGGCGAGCATCGAGGCCTACTCAGGTGACCCTAGCAGGGGACCAAAGTGGGCTGGCCTTAAGCACTTCATGGGCACCACCAGCCCCCTCGACATCGTCGACCCGACGCTGCGCACCGCGGTCGTCCGGAAGAACAAGGAGGAGATGGAACTGGAGAGCTGGAAGATGCGTGCCGCCGGCGTGCCGCCGCCAAGTCCGCTGGCGGCCGCGGCGGGGGGGGGCTCCCCGACGGCGGCGGCGGCAGCGCGGGCCGCGGTGTCGAGGGCGGCAGCGGCGGGCGCGGCGGCCGCCGGGGCCGCAAGGGCGACAAGGGGGCAGGACGTGGCGGTGGGCGCGGCGGCAAGCTGACCGCGCCCGCCGGGGGATGAGCCCGCCTGTTGGCGGAGGTGGGCGACCCGCTGGCGATGAACAGCCCAGTCGTGAAGTCGGGGTGGACTTGCTCAAGCTGTTCCCCCTGCCGAGACTCCCCGACACCAGGAGTCGTGATGGCCGCCCTCAGAGCCGTGAGGGAGGCAGGCTTGCCAGGTGGGTCCGTTGCGACTTCAACGATGCGGTGGGCGCCTTGAATTGGTTTGCGAACCGACAGCACACCGGCGCCAAGCCGAATTTTGACCAGCAGAGGGTGCACGCGCGGATCCTCGACCTCGTGGCGGACAGCATGCCGCCCCAGGAGACCGCGATCCCCTCGCCGCGGGCGGCCTTCAACGAGCTGCTTCACGGCCAGAGTGTCTACGACGAGTCGGCCGGACGGAACATCGGACGTCTTCGCAATGTGGGGCAGATATCTTTGCCTAAGACCGCGGTGGAGGGACCGCGGCTGATGGGGATCGCACCTGCCCATGCACGCCAGTACCTCGAGGACGGTTATTCTCGGATGCTCGTACCAAGCGACGGATGAGATCATCGACTCGATAGTTGTGATGTGATCCCGCGCTGGGATCCCTCTCTTGTGCGCAACAGGAGGCTGTACATACGTTTCATCAGGCTGCTCAGATCGAAGGGGGTGCTTGTCTTCTTGGACGAGTCCGAGCGGCGCGAGGGGGTCAGAGTTTTCCTCGTTGCCAAGAAGAGCGACCAGCTCTGCATGATCGTGGACGCGCGGAAGAGCAACCTCCACTTCACTTCCCCTCCGGGCGTGGCCCTAGTTACCGCTGAGGGGCTCGCGAGGGTGGAGGTGGAGCTCGACGGCAGCAGCGTGACCGGTGCGGCGGAGGGTTTCACGTTGGGGACGTCCGACATCAGCGACGCCTTCCACCGCTTCCGCATCGACCGCGAGCTGTCGGGCTGCCTCTGCATGCGGCCGGTGCTCGCCGGAGAGGTGGGGCTGGCCGGCGCGACGCTGGCCGGCCGTCGTCTGGAGGCCGACGTCCGGCTGGTGCCGGCATGCGCTGCGCTGCCCATGGGCTTCACCTGGTCGCTGTTGTTCCGCCGGGAAGTAGAGGGGTCGATGATGAGCGACACCCCCCATGGCTGCAGCTGGCAGGGGTCCCCCGGATGAGTGACCGGGGCCCCACCGCGGTGCTGCTGCCGGCCAGGCCGCTGGACCATGGCGGAGGAGCGCAGTGCACCTACGTCGACAACCTGGGCGTCCTGGGCTTTGACGCCGCCGCGGTGGCGGAGTGCCTGGGCGCCACCACGACCCGGTTCAATCAGGCCGGGCTCGTGACCCACGAGACGGAGCTCCAGGAGGGCCGCGGGGAGACGCTGGGCTGCGTGCTGGACGGCAAGGCGCTGAGCACCCGCCTCACGGCGAAGCGCTACTGGCGCGTGAGGCAGGGGCTCAGCTGGGCCCTCAGCTGTCGGGCTCTCCCCGGCTAGGCTTGGGAGGTGGTGATCGGGCATTGCGCGTACTGCGCCATGTGCAACCGCGACCTGTTGCTTGCGTTCACCGCCGTCTACAAGTTCATCGCGGCGAACTATAGTCAGGGCGCCGCGCTGTGGGCTAGCGCCCGCGCGGAGCTCCTGGCCTTCCGAGGGCTGATGCCGCTTCTGCGCGGCGACTGGGCCCTCCCCATGAGCAAGTTGGTGTGCCTGTCCGACGCCTCGGAGCATGTGTGCTGTGAGTGCCTCCCTCTTTGATGAAGCGGAGGTGAAGAAGATCGGGCGGGTGCAGGAGCGATCTCGCTTCCGGCGCATGGGCGGCCACTCGGCGCGTGCCCACTTCTTCGCCATGAATGGGATTGCCATGACCCTCGGCAGGGCCCTCAAGCCAGTTGCTGAGCTGGAAGAGGGAGACGTTGTCGCGGACGATGCCGAGTGGGGTGTGGATCCAGCTTTCGAGGAGATGCCGGCGGGGATCTTCGTGGGCGCCCGCTGGACTGAGCTAGTCGCCCGCGGGTGGCATAATACCACGGAGGATATCTTGGTATACGAGTCTCGTGCTCTGCTTCGAGCGGTTGAGATGCAATGTAGCCTGTCGCCGAGTGTCGGCGAGCACCTCGACGTGATGAGTGACAACATGCCTGCAGTATTCTGTTTCGAGAGAAGGAGAGCGAACAACTATGTCGTCTTGTCCTGCATCAGAAGGGCTGTGGCGCTATGCCTGGCCCTGAACAAGCGGTTGCATGTACGGTGGGTTCCCAGCGAGCTCAACCCAAGTTATGAGGGATCACGTTTGTTTGGCCCCAAGTATGACCCCTCGAAGACCCTAGTGAACTCCTGGGAGATGGGTGACAACGACGGCGGTAGAGCAGTACATCGTACGGTTACTCAACATGAAGCGGAGCATCGTAGAGCACATTGGCATCATCATAAAGCACATGAGCGCCATGGTACAGCACATGAAGCGGAACATCATAGAGCACATGAAGCAGAGCATCACAGAGCGCATGAACCGCGGGGCCCGCCATTGCAGGGCTCACTACATCATCGCAGAGAACGTGAGCACCCCAACGGGGCCCAAAAGGCCTCCGCGGGCACGAACGATCAGGGCGACCAATGGGGCTTGTCTGCAAGGCCTCTTCGGGCCCATAGCGCAGAATTCCCAGCAGCAGCCACGACTAGCAGAGCACCGTGGCCACGCTCGGCTCGAAGCGCCTCTCCTGCGACAGGGGCCGTGGCAGCTCCCGCCGCAGGCGCCCGGGGCTCGGCGTGTGCTGATGTGTCAGCGCCAGCGGCGACTGCGGCCAGACAGCGTCGACGGCGCGCCCGCGCCCGAGAGGCCCGAGTGGCGTGCCAGACGCTCGCGGGCCTTGTCGCCGAGTGCGCTGCCCCTGCCGCTGGTCCCGCCGCCGGGGGCAGCCTCCGTGCTGCAGCGGCGCCGGGCGCTGGTGCCCCCGCCGGGCCTGGCGGCGCGGCTGCTGAGGCCGCCGCCGATCGCGCGGGCAGAGATCGGGGAGAGCGACGCCACGACCAACCCAGTGGACGAGAAGGAGGCGTCAAGCCCGCTCGTCGTGGACAGCGTGGTGGGCGCTGCACCCGTGCACTACGCAAACGGGCTGCCCGAGGAGAAGCACAGGGCGAACCGTGGCAATGTCCTGCTGTCGGCCCTCCTGCACTTCCAGCCGCAGTATGGCAAGCTTGGCATCTCGCGCCTCCCCCGGGCCTGGCGCGCCCTGAAAGGGTGGCAGCGCCTTTGTGGGAGGCGCTCGCGCAACGCAGTCGTGAGGGCGAGTTGGCCAGCGGTGATCTGGGACCTTTGTTGCAGGGGGCTCTACCCGATGGGGCTCCACGTGTCGGGGAACATCGTGATGCGTCGCAGACCCAGCGAGCCCTTGGCCATCCAGCGCCGCGACCTGGCCGAGCCAGTGAAGGGCGGCGTGGACGAGTGGTTTCTGATCCTGTCCCCAGGCCGCCGAGGCGCCACCCGCAAGAACCAGGTGCAGGACGAAGGCGTCCGCCTGGCCAACAAGCTGTGCCCATGGCTGCCGCGAGTGGCCTCACCGCTTGCGCCCAGTACCCCAGAGTCCAGGGTGTCCCCGCCCAGCCATCTAGAGCTGGTAGCCGAGCCCAACCGCGCACGAGCAGGGCTGGGGCACAACTCGCCGGTACGCTACCAGGGGCGCCACGCGGGGGCGTCGGTGGACCTTCGAGGACACCACCGCGGCCACCTCGAGCTGAGGAAACGAAGAGAGTGGTAGTGCGAGTCGTCCCCGAAGTGGTGCAAGAACGCGGTCAGATCGAACCTGTCCGCCTCGACGCTGATGCCTGCCCGGGCGGTCCAGTTCCAGACGGCCGACGCCCAGCTCGAGGCGCTCTCCTTCGGCCGCGTGGCCGCCCAGTCCTTCGTGCCTCGGTAAACGCTCGACCCTACTTCGCCGACCTGTTCTGCGGGGTCGGCGGCGTCGGACGCGCCATCAGCAGGCGAGGCCATGCGGCCGGGCTGTGGGATCTTAAGTATAACGAACACCTCGACCTCACAGACCACCGTGTGCTTCGTCTGATTGGGAAAAGACGCTTCTGCTGGGCTCATCCTTGGAGCTGCGCTGGCGACAGAGTGCACGAGTTTTTCCATTGCTCGTATGCGGGCCAGATTTATCCGAACCTCTGCGATGCCGTGGGGCGTCAAAGACCGAGGCCAGTTCAGTGATAAGGACCATGTTGCTTTGAGAAGAGGCAACCGGCTGATGAAGGCGACCCTCAGATTGACTCGAGTTTCCAACAGGTATCATATTCCATGGTTCCTGGAAGATCCCTACAGTAGTATGATGTGGAAGATCCCAGCTTTGCGCAAATTGGCTAGCGCGCCGCACTGCGAAGAAGCGACAGTTGACTTCTGCAGTCGCGGCACTCGGTGGCGCAAGCGTGCGCACCTGCTCTTCGGGAGTACTTCAGCATGCTGTGTTCAACATTTGCAATGCCATTTCTGTCGAGGCCGAGGAGTGTGCTCATACACAGCCAGGCCTCGCATCGAGCTGTCAGGCCCGCATCCGACACGTCGAGTGCCGTGGACAAAAGTGGCGGAGCCGTATCCCTTAGGTTTCTGCCGTGGCCTCGCTACTGCCCTCATCTCCGCCTACGTCATCAGAAAACACAATCCATGATATGGGAGTGATATGGGAGCTCAGATTTCTTTTATCCGCCAAAGGGCGGAAGCCTGCAGGTGGTGTGCCACGACCCGGCTACCTGTATAGGCTCTCGCTTTTTCTGTGCTGAACAATGCCGTGCCGTGTTTCACGAGACATATTTTCTGATACTAAAATGAGGAGGGTGCAAGCAGACATAGGAGTGCTTGCACGTGATTGTCAGTGACCCTCCGTCTCCGCTCAAGTGCACCCGTGGCCTGTCCTCCGCCATGAGTGGTCCAACGTCGCAGAGCTCAGATTTCCTTTATCCGCCAAAGGGCGGAAGCCTGCAGGTGGTGTGCCACGACCCGGCTACCTGTATAGGCTCTCGCCTTTTCTGTGCTGAACAATGCCGTGCCGTGTTTCACGAGACATATTTTCTGATACTAAAATGAGGAAGGTGCAAACAGACAATGATTTTGACTTCTTCGGGCCGTCCTTGAGGATCCTGGAGGGCCTCTTCGAGGCCTCTTGGGCCGTCTTGGAGGCCTCTTGGAGGCCTCTGGGCCCGTCTTGGGCCGTCTGAGGTGTTTCTTGTGCGAACTTGGAGGCATCCTGGACTGTCTTGGGCCGTCTTCGAGGCCATCTTGGACCATCTTGGGCGGACTTGGAGGCCATTGTGGGCCATCTTGGCCGTATTGGATGCCATTTTGGAGCCGTCTGGAGGCGAACAGCCCTTTGCAGCCACGTTTTGTGCATCTCTGCGCGCTCTTCCGGGTGGTCGGCGGGACGGGCCGAAGCCCCAGGGGGAGTTTTTACCTAACAGCTCTTGCTGATAGGCTTCTAGTGGTCTCAAAAGAGAGCATCATGACTCCTCAGGGGGGTCTGGGCGGGACCCGGACAGGCTGCCGGCGCGGCTGCCGCCGCACTCCTTTTTCGCAAACAGTCACACACTTCGTGCTCTTCGACCTCCCAGAACTTCATTCCCGGGCCGCATTCTGAATGCCCCGAGCAAACTGTAGGCCACTTCGTGCTCTTCGACTTCACAGAACCCCATTCCCGGGCCACATTTTGGATGCCCGGAGCCAACTGTAGGCCACTTCGTGCTCTTCGATTTCCCAGAACTCCATCCCCGGGCCACATTTTGGATCCCCGACCCAACTGTAGGCCACTTCGTGTTCTTCAAGTTCCCAGAACTCCATTCCCGGCCCACATTTTGAATGCCCGGAGCCAACTGTGGGCCACTTCGTGTTCTTCTAGTTCCCAGAACTCCGTTCCTGTGCCAAATTTTGAATGCTGAGGCAGGCTGATGCTGCGGCCGAGGCAGGCTGAGGCTGAGGCAGGCTGAGGCTGAGGCCGAGGCTGAAGGCAGACTGAGGCTGAGGCTGAAGCAGACTGAGGCTGAGGCTGAGGCAGGCTGAGGCTGAGGCTGAAGCAGGCTGATGCTGAGGCAGGCTGAGGCTGAGGCTGAGGCTGATGCAGGCTGAGGCTGAGGCAGGCTGAGGCTGAGGCCGAGGCTGAAGGCAGACTGAGGCTGAGGCTGAAGCAGGCTGAGGCTGAGGCTGAGGCAGGCTGAGGCTGAGGCAGGCTGAGGCTGAGGCTGAGGCAGGCTGAGGCTGAGGCTGTGACTGCGACTGCCGTTGCAGCTGCGACTGTCATCGCGAATGCGACTACGACTGCGAGAACAGCAGAATTCTACAACTGGATTTTCATCTGAATCTTAAGGGGAATGCTTTCAGATATGCTTCTACACATCGCTGTTAGGTTGCTTTGCCGGGATGATTTTGACCTAACAGCGAAGACTGATAGGTTTCTAATATGGTCAAAAGAGAGCATCATGACGCCCCAGGGGGGTCTGGGCGGGATCTGGGGGAATGCCGGGGATTTTTTTTAGCCAACAATTACACACTTCGTGGTCTTCGAGGTCCCAAAACTCCATTCCCGGGCCACATTATGAATGCCCGGAGCCAACTGTAGGCCACTTCGTGCTCTTCGAGTTCCCAGAATTGAGATGTGCCTGACCTATTACAGGAGGCATACGGAGCCGATGGTCTGAAAACACCAAAAAACTGTTTAAAAACTGTTTTGGGGTATTTTCAAAAAATCAGGAAACAAGTGTTTGAAAAAGTGTTGTGAGAGGGCGTTGAGTGTTCGAAAAAGTGTTGCTAGTTTTCGGCAATTTGCGTTGAGTGTTCGTAAACGTGTTGCTAGTTTTCGCAAAAGTGTTGTTAGTTGTCGGCAATGTTCGTAAACGTGTTGTTAGTTTTCGCAAAAGTGTTGTTAGTTTGCGTGGGGTGGTAGAACAAATTGTGACAGCGCTTGGGGTGTTTGAAAAACTGTTAAACAGTGAGTATGAGTGTCTTGGAGACCCCCTGTAAGGGGCCAGGAAGGTCTCATTCGTGTAGCGTTTTTTTTTTTTTTTTTTTTTTTTTTTTTTTTTTTTTTTTTTTTTTTTTTTTTTTTTTTTTTTTTTTTTTTTTTTTTTTTTTTTTTTTTTTCCTTTTTTTTTTTTTTTTTTTTTTTTTTTGTTTTTTTGTTTTTTTGTTTTGTTTTTGTTTATATATATATATGTATTATTATTACTTTTTATTTCGGATGAGACGAAGAAGGGCGAGAAAGAGAAGGAGGGGGCGGGGAGAGGAGGCGTGCAACCGTCTTATGGCACCTCGGGGGGCCTCTTGGAGTGGTCTTGGGTGTGGCTTGGGGGCCTTTCGGGGCCTCTTGGCACTTTTCGGGGCCTCTTGGCACCTCTTCGCCTCCGCGCGGCCGCAGCCGCCCCTGTCTGGGGCGGGGCGAGACCAGAGGCCGAGGACGAACGAGGAGCAACGACGATGAATGTACGTACCCTCTTCGTCGTCGTCGTCGTCGTCCTCCTCCTCCTCCTCCTCCTCCTCCTCCTCCTCCTGCTCCTGCTCCTCCTCCTCCTTCTCCACTTCCTCCTCCTCCTCCTCCCTCCTCCTCCTCCGTCCTCCTCCTCCTCCACCTCCTCCTCCTCCTGCTCCTCCTCCTCCTCCACCTCCTCCAACTCCGTCTCGGTCCTCGTCCTCCTCCTCGGAGCCTCTTGGCACCTCTTCGGGGCCTCTCGGAGTGGTCTTGGGTCTGGGGCCTGGGGGCCTTTCGGGGCCTCTTGTGGCCTCATTGGGGCCTCGTGAGAGGCTCATTTGTTGCCGTTCAGGGGCCGCGATCCTTGTGAGGGGTGTCAAGAAATTACCCTCCCAAAGTCATGCGAGAAGACGCGGGGCCTCACGAAGATTTCGGGATCGTGATTCCTCAGGGCTGAGGGCTGAGACTCCAGGGGCTCCAGGGCCAGGGACAAGGGAAAGACCTGCGGACACGCCCACTCCGTGCCGAAGGGCACGGTGGCGGATGTTTCATGCCCACAGTGTGAGCACGCACGCGGGACCTCAAGAAGATTTCGGGATCTTGGTTCCTCAGGAATGAGGACTGGGGCTCCAGGGACAAGGGAAAGACGTGAGGACACGCCCACTCCGTGCCGAAGGGCACGGTGGCGGATGTTTCATGCCCACAGCACGAGCACGCACGCGGGACCTCAAGAAGATTTCGGGATCTTGATTCCCCAGGAATGAGGACTGAGACCCCAGGGGCTCCAGGGACAAGGGAAAAACGTGAGGACACGCCCACTCCGTGCCGAAGGGCACGGTGGCGGATAGGTCATGCCCACAGCACGAGCACGCACGCGGGACCTCAAGAAAATTTCGGGATCGTGATTCCTCAGGAATGAGGACTGAGATTCCAGGGGCTCCAGGGGCAAGGGAAAGACGTGAGGACACGCCCCATCCGTGCCGAAGGGCACGGTGGCGGATGTTTCATGCCCACAGCATGAGCACGCACGCGGGACCTCAAGATGATTTCGGGATCTTGATTCGTCAGGACTGAGGACTGAGACTCCAGGGGCTCCAGGGACAAGGCAAAGACGCGAGGACACGCCCACTCCGTGCCGAAGGGCACGGTGGCGGATGTTTCATGCTCACAGCACGCCTTGATATGCGCACGCGTTGCATTATGAGCCGAAGGTTGCGAGGATATCTCAGGCGAAAAGTTCACTCGGGTCCCAGAGGGCCAGCGCAAGCAGGCCCGTTAGGCCCTAAAAAGGGAACGCAGCCAGACAGCAGACAGCATGCAAGTGGAGTTGCGTGTCGACGTCGGCCGAGGGCCGAGGGCCCTTTCTCACTAAGCCGTGCCGCGCAGTGACTGAAGGCATCGACCCCCCCCCCCCCGACCACCCGTCCGCCCAAATTGTCCGTAGCCGAATTCCCCAAGGAGTTCAAGTTGAG